CAACTTTTACCCGTTGATGCATTGCTATTGGGACATTCATAATTGCAATCTATCAATAGTTCAATGTATCATTACATTCCTAGTTGTGAGTTGCTTTCTTTTTAAGCATGATGCATGTGTCTATGTAGAAAAATTAGTCATTTTCACAGTGTGCAATCAGTGTTATCTGCATGCAGATATCTAGGTGTTATCTAGGTGGGATAGATACTTAGTGTGAGATCAAAATGGGCTTGGAGCACTTGACCACACGAGATGACTCATGAAGAGGAAGAAAGTTGCCTCCATGGTAGCTAATTATCCATATAATAATAGAATTGGAAACAACAGAATGCATCTGCTAAGCAAATGCTCGCAAAACATGATTACAAATGTAAGGGGCCATTGTTAACCAAAAGGGAAGGGCTCAAACTGAAAGACATGTTCATTCTGGATAAACCAGAGGAAATGATGGAATGGTGGACAAATTGGAACGTGAACAAATTCATCAGAAACACCAACTTAGGTCATCCATAACCCACAGAGAATACCCACCTTAGATTAAGAAAACCTTCAATCTTGAATTGAGGAACATCAAGAAAGAAGTTCAAGAATGATAAATCAAAAACAATATAACAATCCCCAGTCTCCTTGGAGATAAGTAAAAGATGAGAGTAAAAAATCTCAAGTAGGATGGAGAACCCACTTACAGCTTTCATAGCCTGTAGAGAGGATATAATCTCCCTCAGTACCCAAGATCTGGTAATGTAGAAAACTAAAGAAACCAGAAAATATTTTTGGTAAGCAGCCTCAGCCAAAGATTCCATGAATTTCATCACAAAGGAAAGGAGAAAGTTATAAGAATTGCTTATAAATGTGTAAATTAATTTACATTATTCTTACTCCTAATTATACAGTACATAAGACAGGAGTTATTAAATAGCTCAAATAAGGTTACTCATATTTTTACTTAAACACCATGCTTAAAAATCACTTGACTAAAAACCTTGTCATTCGTGGTTTAAATGGCAAACAAATGCTTCTATGCACCATTAAATATTAACTTAAAGACCTTGAAGTCAGTTTGAGTGAATAGTGAGTTTGCTTTCTTTGTTGTTTTGAGCCATTCAAAAGTTTCATGTGCTAATATCAGTTATATTTATTACTTTTCAAAGTTAAATAGTTTAATAATAAGCCCTGTTAGGACAATGCATCGATATCACTAAACTTTCAATGTAAGTAACAGAAAAGAAGGTTTCAATTGAGAATAGTCAGTTGTGCCATGCCAGCTACAAAACTGTCTTGCTTTTTGCCATTTTTTTTCATTCTGAGTGCTCTGTCTGTGCAATCAAATGAAACACGACATATAAGGGAACTACTTTTACTGAAACAAAGGTAGAAGGAATATACCATTTGACAAAATGTTAATAAAAGTATCAAAACAGTCTATGGTCTTAAACCCTCAAGAAATCTTAGGTACTTTTTCAACTACATATTCAACAAAGTGTTGTAAGCTATATTTTCAATGTTTTAATCCACATGTTTGCTAGAAGGCATTAGGTATTATGATTTGAAAAATTCATTTAGTGAGTAGAAGGTGAATAGATATAAATATCAGTAAAATGAAACAGTGAACCAAGGAGCAGTGAATGAACAGTTAATGAGTAATGAACTACTGAGTATACAATGAGTGATTCAGTTTAATGTTAGTAGTGAGAGCTATTGTGTCTATTGGTAAGGCAATTCTGTAAGTTTATTGGTAAGTTAGGTGCATTATTATTGCAGCTTTTATTGAAATGTTGGTTGTGAACTTAGGCCTACAATTTGTGTCATAGTTAGTGTAGCCTGTAACAAACATTACTGAAGAAATAAATCAATTCATTATGATTACATGGACTGGACTAACAATATTTTTACCAATTAATCCTAAAGAACACACCCAATTATAGAACAAGTTATAACAATGGTGTTAGAAATGAGATTATTTTGTTGAAAATAAAACTGAATGAATTTCAAGATGACAACCAAATTGTGAAGAGAGATCAAGACTTGCTAGAAATGAAGAAACAGTTAAAAGAAGATCTAGAAGAAAGAGAAATAAAATGAAAAGAATACCAATATATAAAAGACAAAAAATTATGAGAAGAGTTAAGAGAATGAGTAAAGATAAGGAATAAATCTGATT